AGGGGGCTGCCTACGGGGAGGATGCCCAGCATGTCCTGCAACGAGAGTGAGGAAAGGCACCATTTGGTAAATTGCTTCCCAACCTTTCTGATGTCGTGATACACATAGAAAATGATTATTTGTTCAGCACAAATGATATTCATTCTGCTCACTGGGGCAAAGAGATGAAGCTTCTTGGGGGTCAAGAGGTGACTGATCCGGGGGTCCTGTCACCCTGGACCCCACCTGGCTGTTCTGGGGTGAGGGGAGCCAGTACATCTCAGACATACTGGCACCCCTGCTTAGAATAGTGCTCAAGAAACTTGGGTCTGGAGAATAGGAGCAATTACAGCTCATTGAAAAGGAGCCATTTCTGGAAACAGGCAGATTCTGTGTGGACCAGATCTGAATTCTGAGACCTGGGCAGAGGTGGAGCCTTTTGCTGAAGACTTGGCTCAGCAATGAACCGCCCTTGAGTCGCTCAGTGTGAATACTGGAAACCACCGGCCCTCTCTGTGGACTGGAAGCTGCCCTAACAATGTATTCACGTGGTCATGTTTTTTTTTTCCTGTTTCATAGTCATATGTTTTTATAAAAATCGCCAAAGTTAGACATTTAAGCCAGAATCAGTTAAGCCTGCTATCTCTCTCCACTCTGACTTCCTCTTTATCACATTTCCCTTCCTGTAACAGGCCTCCATGTGGCCACGGCACTGTGTATTCGTGATTGCATATTTTAGTTCTTAAGCAAGCCCTCCAAAATTGTAAGCCTCAGGCCCCACAAAACCTGCTTCTGCCCCTGCAACCAGCCAAGTGCAGCAAAAGGGTACGTGGGACAGGGCTGTGGCCACCTTCCCCTTTATGGCCCTTTATGGTATGCAGTCATTCTTGCATACCCATCACTGCATGGATTTTTTTTCTTTTTGAAATTCATTATTAATATTTACAACGTGTACAGTAAACAAACTACGCAAGAGTATACAATGCACACCGAGCCCCAGCCAACCCCAATTCCCAGACCCGTGCCTCAATGGAATAATGCCCAAAACAATGTCTGTTGGATCTTTCCAAAAAGTTTAAATCTAGATCTCAATCCTATTTTTTATACTCCATTCTGTACTTAACAAACCTTCACGATCTTTCCATATCAGCACGTAGAATTTGACTTCATTCCTTGGGACAGCTGCATAGATTGCATGTATGAAAATCTAGCCATTTGGGGCAGATTTCATCAAGTCCATTAAACACAATTTCATTGCCCTTGTCCTGCAAGGTCCAACCTGGTTTTGCACAAGACCTCACAGAGGCCTTGTTTTATCATCTTTTCTAGTTTCCGATCTTTCTTCCAGGAAATCTCACTCAAAACATAAATCAAGCCACCACCACGTGTCAGGAAATCAGCAGTTTGCTTAAAATCACTCTGATCCCTTCAGATTAACGATGCAGTAGCACCGCCTCGTGGGGAGTGAGATGCTCACATCCCCCCTTAAAGATCCCTGTCAGAGGTGGGGAAGTTTACCTGACTACAGCTGCTCAGTGGGGGCTGCCCAATGCTCGGTCACAAGCTGAAACAAGTCAGCCCCGTTTTGTAAGCTGCCCGTCTCGCATTGTGCCTAATTCCATTCAGTTACTCAGAGTCTTGTTTAAATCCCCCAGCCGGGATGCTGCAGGGCGGGCCGGACCGCAAAGCCAGAACAGAGGAAGCAGCGCCACCACGAGGCCAGCTGTGGTGGAGGCAGCAGTGAGGTTGGGGAGCGTCCGACCCAACATTGAATTTGGTGGGGCGATCAGGTCGGGGCACCGGGTCCAAGTTCTCCTCCCCACACGGAGATTCTCACCGCCCATCTCGGAGTGTCTGGGTTTGATGTCATCAAAGGGACAGCAGTTTTTCCTGACTCTTCCCTGCCAGCAAGCCAGCCCACCACGTCCTGAGACAGAGACTGGGTCTTGCACTCATCTATATGGCTCAGTGACTACCCAAATCGGGAGCAAAGTCACATAGTAAATGCTCTATAAATGTTCGTTGAGTGAATGAAGACCCCCCCTGGTGACTTTTTAGCACTCCACACACCAGGTTTGGGTTACAGCCCCCATTCTGTTAGTCCAGGGCTTTTACGATTAATTTCCTTTGTGATGCGCCCAGCTATTCATACCGGTCCCTCTGAGGACAGGGTGGGGAGTGTACAGACCGACTACCGTATTTGCCGGCGTATAAGACAACTCGGCGTATAAGACGACCCCCTAACATTTCCACTCAAAATACAGAGTTTGTTATATGGTCGGCTGTGTGCGATTTTGCGAGTGTGGTAA